TATTGACATTGGCGTCGCATGGCAGGGCTATGTGGCCAATCCTGAGGATACGGCCTCCACCTTGCGGGATGGCTGGATCGATCTGGGAGATCTCGGCTACTTTGACGATGACAACAATCTGTTTTTGGTAGATCGCAAGAAGGACGTACTCAAATACAAATCAAAGGACTTCTGGCCCAACGAAATTGAGCAAATTATTGCGGAGCTGCCAGAGGTGGAAAATGTTTGCATTGTCGGCGTGAGGAACACGAACTATACCGATGCAGCTGGCGCACTGGTAATCAAGAAACCCGGAGCCGAAATCTCCAAGGAGAAGATCATTGAGCATGTGGCAAAGCGCGTTGTTGTCGAATACAAACAGCTGAACGCTGGCGTCCAGTTTGTCGACAGTTTGCCCATGAACAACAATGGTAAAGTGGTCAGAAACTTGGCCAGGAAACTGTTTGAGTCGCTCATGGATGCTCAGGAGTCATAGTTTCATTTCTTTTATATCCAATGTTCCTTATATAATTTTAAGAAGTTCTATATTTTGGTGATTCAACATGTAAATATTATTAAATAAATTGAAAAATATCGTAGACAATCAAAATATGTTTTCTTATTTTACATTTGAGACAAAGGTGCGTTTGTTGGTATAGCTGGTATAAATTCATTCCAAGAAACATGAAAACATGTGAAACAATTTACTACATAATAGTGAGCGATATATATATATATATATATATATATATATATATATATAATGTACTTTAATGCTGATAAAGAGCTAATAATAGCATGAGAAAAATAAAAACAATCAATAATGAAATTATGATTATTGATATCCATTTAAAAGGATTTGATATCTGTTAATAAAGTAGTAGTAGTAAAGAAGTAATGAAAGAAAAGATAGGAGAATAATATATTTAGCTCGTTCTATTTCATTCACCTTGAATAAAAAAATAAATAAAAATATTAAAATGTTCTCTTATCCATTTATTGGGCTTTCCCATTGGTTATCTAACGATAATTCGGTGCATGGGGTGCAA